ACCAGGCACCGCCACTACCAGCTGCTGCTACGACCACCATGTACTACTACCAGGTACTAGGACTAGTAACTATTACTATTAGTAGTCGTAGAAGAAGTACCACTACCACTACTACGCACGAGAAACTATGTAGTAGTAGTAGTACTACTACTACTACTACTACCACTACTACTACTACTACTACTACTACTACTACTACTACTACTACTACTACTACTACTACTACTACTACTACTACTACTACTACTACTACTACTACTACTACTACTACCACTACCACTACCACTACCACTACCACTACCACGAAGTTCGTGCACCTGGTGGCGAGGGGCGGCTCCGAGGGCCTCCGCCACTTCGCCGGGGGTCCCGAGACCTTCGCCCAGCGCAGGGCCAGCGCAAGCGCGGCCGTCGTCGACGCCAACGCGCTCTGGCTCAAGCTCCGGGGCGAGGAGCGCGCGTGCGTCCACGAGAGCGAGGTCTCGGCGACAGCGAAATGGGCGCGGAAGGAAAGGGCGCACTGCCCAACAGCAGTTCCTGCTTAATTTGAACACGATTCGCTGTCGGTGTCGCCGCGGCCTGTGCCCATTCGAGACAGAAGGCCGCCTGCCAAACGGCGGCCGCTGTTGGTTTGGGACAACATTTGTTGCGGGGCACTGTGCCCATTCTTTCCGCGCGCATTTCGGGCGCCCAAAAGGCGCGCGCCGCGGGCGCCGAGAAACGCATCGAGAACTTCCGCGAGAAGCCCCGCGAGACGCGCAACGAGCAGGACAGGGCAGCCTTCGAGACGGAGAAGGCCAAGTACTTGGCAGACCACCCCGACCACAAGGAGCAAGCGGAGCAGGCCTACGCGAGAGCAGGAGACAAGCACAGGATCACCCTCATCAACACCTCCGCGGTCGAGAACTGGTTCGACCCGAGCAGGGGGCCGAAGTCCGCCAAGAACCGCAGCGCGCCGGAGGTCCCCCGCGCAAGGCACTGCCGAGCCAGCGACGCAAACCCCGAGGAGGGCACCAGGCGGCGCGACGTCACCTGCGAGCGGGGCGATGGCGAGAAAGAGCGCTTCTGAGCAGGCGAGCCCCCGGGAGCATTGCTCAAGGGCTGACGCAACGCTCTGCTCGAGTTCTCCGAGGCGGAACGCGCGAGGGTCTTCGAGGCCATCGACGCGCGGGGGCAGCCGAGAGCCTGGACGGACGGGCTGGCGGCATGCTGGACCATCGACTTCGTCGAGCAGGAGCGCGGCCAGAGCCTCGTGTTCGCAGACTGCCTCTCGAGCCAGTGGACCGAAACAGTGGCGCTGCGAGCATGGCTCACGAATGCCACCCGCGCGCCCATGGCCCCCGACGCCGCGAGCTTCTTGCGAGAGCCCGACATCCACGAGCACGGCCAGCTCAAGGCCAATGTCCGAGAGGTCAAGGCCGAGGTGCACTGGGCCATGGGGCAACGCTGGATCCAGAAGGCCAAGGCCGAGCCCCAGAAGGAGCACAAGTCCCCGACAACATGGGGGCCCTACGAATGCCTCTACTGCGTCTACGAGGCCTGCACCCGCTTCCGCGCGCAGAACGAGGACGCGGTGCCGCCCCAAGGGGCGCAAGCCAACCAGATGCTCGCGGTCCGGCCGGCAGAGCCAGGCGAGCTCAAGGTCGTCATGGGCATGGGGCCGTGGGGCTACTCCACCGGGCCCGGCCGCGGCATCGAGAACAGCCTGGCGAAAGAGCGCCTCGAGGGCACCCAGGGCTGGCCCAGGGGCGCGCCGCCCGCGCCCGAGCGGAGCGCCCTCGACGGCAACTGCTTCCACAACGACGACTTGCCGAGGGGCCGCGGGCAGGGCGAGAACCCCTGCCTCCTGGAGCTCCGAGAGCTGGACCGCAAGCTCACCGACGAGCAGAAGGACGCGCTCAAACCCCCTGGGGAGCGGATCGAGGACATCAAATTCCCGCGCGCCCTCGAGACCAGGATCATGCTGAAACAGACAGCTAAACGCAAGAACAAGTGGGCGTCCAAGTTCGCGGGGCAGTTCCTGGGCAAGCACGCTCGCAAGTGGCAGCGCGAGAAGGCCAAGACTGGCGGCGAGATCTCGCTCGAGCACCTCGGCAGAGGCGCGACCAAAGCGATGCTCACAGGCAGGGCGTCGAAGGCGCACGCGAGCTTCTCCAAGAAGGTCAAGCGGAAGAAAGATGCGGAAAAAAACGCGCCAAGAAGCAGGACAGGGCCCATCAGAAGAACGGCATCGAGGCTTGCGAGCCCCCCCCCCCCGCCCAGCACGGCAAGGTGGCGGCGCGCGCCGCCGAGGAGGGCAACTGCGAGGGCAGGCGCGGCAGAGTGCAGGACGTCTGGCGAGTCCTGGGCACCGAGGACGGGCGCCGCCCGCGCGCCCTCGAAGTGGAGACCGCGGCGATCGTCCAGATCGACAGCAGCGAGACTGGGAAGGTCACAGGCACTCGTTAGCTTCCGCCTGCTTCTGCCTGGGGCGGCGGAAGCAGGCGGAAGCTGGCGGACAGGAAAAGAAACGAAAGCGGAAGCAGGCGGAAGCAACGACGCGAATCGGAAGCAGGCGGAAGCTAACGAGCGCCTGCGAATCCCGAGAGCCACAGGTCACGATCGAGCAGGACGACAAGTTCTCCAGGCCGCAGAAGCTCGAGTGGCGCCAGACAAGACAGGCTCGCCGCACCGTGCTCGCCAAGGAGTACGCGATCATGAACTGCGAGCAGATCGTCAAGGGCGACGCCCTCGAGCTGGGCACGCTGCACGCGCTGCTGGGCGAGATCGAGGAGCGCGTGAGCGTCCCCGACAACGTTCTGGCGGTCGAGCCCACGGCGGCCGTCGCCTGGGCTCGAGAGGGCCAGGGCGAGGACGCACCCGCCGCCCTGCAGCCCGAGGAGCAGAAGCGCTGGGCCGAGAGGGCCGACAAGGCCCAAAACGTGCTGGTCTGCATGCACTCCGAACCGCCCGCGCACTACACGCACACCAAGATGGGCGGGTGCTGCAATGCCCCCCCCCAAGGGTGCCTGCAGCGTTTCACCCCAACAAGAACGAATCCTGGAAGCGCCCTGGGCAGGGGGGCACTTGTGGCAATTCCCACCAGGTTTCGAGGATCGACTGGGGCGGCGTCGAGGTAAAGTACTGCGACGCCCTCAAGCAGCCGTCCGAGAACGCCAAGCAGACCCAAAAGGGCCACACGCGAACTCACGCTTGCACCCCCACGATTTCTGAAGGGGGGAAGGTGGGGTTCACTTTGTTCGGGAGCTGCCGAGCGAAGTGTGCCCCGCCCTCCTCCCCCTCCTCAGAAATCGCGGGTAAGGTTCGCACGTGGCCTCCCGAGGCCGCCACGAGGATCCTCCGCCAGATCGGCGCCATTGGCCCTGGCGAGCATTGCCCAGCACCGAGCAACAGACGGTACCAAGTAGACGGTTGGAGCTGCGGCCTGTGGGCGACTCGCTGGATCGAGCGCGCCCTGCGCGATATCCGAAGCGAGGGCCGCCAAATGCCCGCAGCCCTTCACACCATGGTCGCTCGAGGCAACGGGTGTATCAGTAAACTCAAGGAGGCCGGGGACAACGACTTGGCCGTGGCCAAGGCCCAGGCCAAGGCCAAGCACAGCTCCAACCCCTTTAAGGACCCCACGGAAGTACGCCACCTACGAGGAGGCGAGCGTCACCGCCCAGCTTTGCACCAACTGTCTCCGATGCAAAGACGGCTCCAAAGGATGCCGTGCTTGCATGGGAGAGCGGTTCGAAGTCCTGTGCACGAGGGGTTCCTTGGCCAGGTCGGCCAAGGACCTCACTTGCGTTGGCAAAAGCTCGGCGTCTGCTTAGCCACGAACATCGAGATCGCTCGAATCAGCCTTGTGTTGTGCGCCTCTGCGGGCAAGTCGCCACGAGCCTCGAGATCTCTCGAGTCAGCCTTGTGTCGTGCGCCTCTGCGGGCAAGTCGCCACGAACCTAAATATCGCTCGAGTCAGGCTTGATTCGTGCTCCTGGTTTAACCTCCTCCTTCTCCTCCCCCTCCTCCACCATCGTCGGCCTTGTCCTCATCATCACCACCACCACCACCACCACCACCACCACCACCACCATCATCATCATCATCATCATCATCATCAGCATCATCATCAGCATCATCATCATCATCATCATCATCAGCAGCAGCAGCAGCAGCAGCATCATCATCATCATCATCATCATCATCATCATCATCATCAGCATCATCATCATCATCATCATCATCAACATCATCATCAACATCACCATCATCATCATCATCATCCTCATCAACAACATCATCATCATCATCATCAGCATCATCATCATCATCATCATCATCATCATGATCATCATCATCATCATCATCATCACCACCACCACCATCATCATCATCATCAGCAGCAGCAACATCATCATCATCATGATCATCTGTATCATCATCCGCATCACCAAAACTTACCTTCCCCGGGAAAATCCTTGACTATCCCCGCGGGAACCGCGAACTTTCTTATCCCAGAAGGGTTATTATCGCCCGCGCACGGTTAAATGGGTGCAACACGTACGTTCGTTCTCGGTGTTGAAGTCCCAGGAATGCCGTGTTGGCACATTTCGGGGTTGCCAACACGCAACAATCAAGATGACCCGTGGCGTTGAAACCCCGAGAACCATATTTTGGCATGCCTCTGGATCTTCAAACTGTTGTCTTCCAGTGCGGCAAACCCCGCTGTGAAAATGAACCGTTATAGGGGCCTATGAAGCGGTAACTTTGTGGGATGATGTGCTCCATCATCGTCGATGACTGCTTGGCTTACACTGGTCCTCCTCCTCCTCCTCCTCCTCTTTCTCCTCTTCCTGGTCCTCCATCTCCTCCTCCTCTTCTTCGTCCTCCTCCTCCTCCACCTTCACTTCCCCCTCCCCCTCCTCCTCCTCCCCCCCCCATCGTCATCATCAGAATCCCCCTCCTCCTCCTCCTCCTCTTCCTCGTCCTCCTCCTCCTCCTCCTCCTTCTCGGCCTCTGGCCTCGGGCGCGCCGTCGGCCGCGCTGTGCCTCCACAGCAGGAAGCCAGCGACCTGTAGCAGGCCGAGCAGGTCCGCGGCTCGGGCGTCGAGGGCCGCAGGGTCGGGCGCCCAGGCCTGCCGGGGGCATCCCAAAGGGTGGCGTCCAAGAGGGAGGTGAAGGAAGAGGGGGAGGAGGATGAGGAGGAAGAGGAGGAGGAGGATCAAGGTAAGGATAAGCGCATCGGGGGCAAGTCCCTGCCATATGTGAAAATTGTATAGGCGAGGATGTGAGATGTAGGTTGGTAAGGAATTATGTTGCCCTTCCGCCCCTTGCCGTTGTGGCTCATAAGCTGGGAGGAGGGAGGGTGGACGCACCTACTCACGGTTTGGCCTGAGTACGGAGATACACAGATCTTATTTATCTGACCTTGTGCTTGCATCAAGTGCTTGGTGGGAGGGATAGTGTGATCAAGATTTACACTGGTAGCCTGGAGCTGGATCAGTTCTACGGTTGCGAGATTCATAGTGTGAGTGGCCGTGCAGATATATGCTGCGCTCAAGATTTTCGTAGTGCTTTACCACTGTGCACTCTCTTCAGCGATCAACACGCTGAACATCCTCACCTGCAGCCTGGCCGAAAATCGTTGCCACGACCCGGACAGCAGCAGGGACAACGACATCTACTACGAGCTGGACGGAGACGCCATTTTCAGAGACGGCGACGCCATCCTGAGCGACGGCGAGACTATCAGCAGAGACGGCAACATCATTACTACAGACAAGATGACGACCAGGCAGCAACAACCCAACGACGGACCCCTCTTCGTGGACAAAGAGGGCGTCGTACACTACAACGGCGACCCAGCCTACGGCGAGGAGTTCGAAGAGCGGGCGATCCTCGGCTACCACGCGACCGAAGAGAAGCTGCAGAAGCTCTACGCCATCAAGCTCAAGAATTCTTTGAATGGGCGAGCGTGGAACCTCACCAGGAAGAAGGCCGAGATTGCTACGCAACCGGCGTTGGACAAAGCAGGTGAAGACCCACTTGCTGCAGTGAAGTTGGTGGTGGCCAAGGTGCGACAGGCGTGCGAACGGATCGCCCCACTACAGAAGAGCCAGGCTTTCGAGGAGTATTGCTGTAAAGGTTTCCGCAGGGTCGGGGTCTGTACAAGACTACATCTCGAGGCTGGAGACGGAGTATGAGCGGCTCAAGTCTCTCTCAGCAAACACGACTGTGAGTGAAGACCTGCGGACAGACTTCCTAATAATGTTGGCCAATATCAGCATGACCGAGCACAAGGCTTTTCTCGGGCAGTGCAACAAAGAGTACAGATGGGATAAAGTGACGGCGGCGATGCTCATCCAGCTGGACACGACGTGCAGAGACGAACGTGGTCACGGACGTTATGGAGCACACCCTGCGGACTACGACGATGAGGAGGAAGCCCTACTCGGATACGCGCGTGGCGTGTGCGACGAGGACGGTCCTCTGAGCGATGAAGATTACGACGCGCTGGCAGTCGACATCGACGAGTTCGAGGGGGCGATTGACGACGTCGACCCCGAAGAGATCAGCCAGGAGGAGTGCGACACTCTAGCAGCTGAGGCACAGCGCCTCGGGTGAAGGCTGGACGGAAAGGTCACAAGCCCAACTACAAGCCAGCCCGGGAGAGGCTTGCACAGAACAATTCCAATCGAGGTTGGAAGGCCAACATCAACAAGCAGGGATCCATCAAGATGGACGGCAAAAAAGCCGAAGAGAAGCTAAAGAAGATAAAGGCGCGCACGAAGTGCAATGCGTGCCACAAGAAAGGCCACTGGAAAGGAGACCCGGAGTGCGAAAAGACAAGGCCATCAGGTGGCGGATCATCGAGCAGCCTACAGCGTGGAGGACGAGGTGGTGGCCGAGGCTTTCACAGGCGACCTGGAGGTTTCTACGACGGGCTGGGTTTGCGGTGGCAACGGCAGTGAAGCTACTGATGGCGGACAGCTCAATGGACATGACTGCTATCCAGATCGTGAATCATCAGCTGGCGAACATGGAGACCACGATTGAGGAGATCACGAATCTGACGAAGGTGAGGATCGACACCGACGAGCAGATCGTGAACACCTGGACTGCATCAGCGCTTGGAGACGATCAGGGCACACGAGAATCCGAGGGCACTGATGACCATACGCCAGGATCTGGATCAGAGCAGACAGGGCCCAGTAAAACAAGCACCGAATATTCAGAAGATAGCACAGCAGCAGACCTACAGAAGATCAAAGATCGAGCATCACAGATCGCAGCTCTATGGGTTTACAGGGATTGGTGTGTGGACTGGGCACTACTCCAGATCCACCAGCTCATGCATATTACGATGGAGATGGCACAACAGGGGCCCAGGAACCTGGCGTACGATCTATGCCAAGCATCCTGGGACAGTACCTCGGAACTACGCAACATCGTGAGGAACGCCTGCGAGCGCCTACCTCAGGGAAGGCGACCGACATGGTTGTGGACGGAACGCAGAACGGGACCAGACTACAGGCCCACAGAGGAGCGTGTACCATCATCTGGCTTGCAGGTGGACTACGAGGAGCTGCAGGAGACCGAGGCCTACGCGAAAAAGGAAAGGACCTATTCCAGATGGACATGCTGTACTTGACACGGCGGGCCTGTGGATGTGGAGGCTCACTAGCGTTGGACGGCTACGCTGAGGACAGCAGGGTCACCACGAGGATGAGGGGCTCATCCATGCGCTTCCGAGGCGTGAATGATAGCGCCCCAGTGATGGCAGAAGGCGAGCAGGAGGTGACAGCTGGACTTGCAGGAGCCGACGTGAATATACGGTTCCAAAGGCTGCCGAAATCGAAGACGCCGATACTGCTCAGCATCCACCAGCTGGAGAAGCTAGATACAGCGCTGTACGTGAAGGAGCGGAAGGCGGACTTCGAGGCGATCAACAAGTACGGGGTGCCACTCAACAAGACCGAGAAAGGGCACCTTACGATCTCACTCAAGGACTGGCCGAAGAGAGAAACGACCAAGACGGCACCATCAGTTACGACGGATGAGATCGACATCTGGACCGCGGAGGTGCAGGAGATAGACAAAGGCATCCTACGACGAAAGCAGAGGAAGCATATCGAGACGCGGGAGAAGGAGTTGCAAGACAAGCTGGACCAGTGCCAGCAGGTTGTGGAGACGCTAAAGGCGGACCCAGAGGAAAAGCGGCCTATCATATGCGAGCTCTATGCTGGTGGCATGGCGGCGACATCGGAAGCTCAGCAGCGGCGACACCCTACTACGAGACCAAGGGACATCCAGATAGGGGACGACCTACTGGACAGTAAGTCACAGCGGAACGTTGCCGAAGCAGTTGGACGAGGACAACCCATGCATGACGATCGTGGGGTTCCCCCGCGATCCGTTCACAAACATATCGCACATGTTTCTGCAGAAGACGAGGATGATGACGCTAGCAACTGGCATGAAGCACCTGCGGTTTGTCAAGCAGATCTGGCTCAACTGCAAGCGTCGAGGAGCTCACGTGCTACTTGAGAACCCACTGACATCCAAAGCATGGAAGCTCATGCCGTAGCTAGACTCAGAGCTTGTGGCCGCGATGACGCACCAGTGCGCTGAAGGCAGCAACCTGGTGGACTTCCTAGGCGACCCGGTCAAGAAGCCGACGCGGTTCCTGACTACGGCCATCATGCTAGGTGCCAAGCTGAACAGCACCAGGCGCGACAGCACGCACGAACATGCGAGCGTGATAAACAGGCCGAAGGGAACAGCATCAAGTCTTTGCAACTGGACGGCGAACCCTGCGGAGACGATCATGGACGGCATCGAGAGTCAGCGGGGCCTCGAGAAGCAGCACGGTGGGCACACCAGGTACGCCAACAATTTCGCGGACATCGAGCTTGACGAGATCGCGACCAAACCTGCAGAGGTGGAGGCACCCATGCACGCGAGTGCAGCGACGATCTTCAGCAAGCACGGTGGCAACGTCGAGATGGCGGAGTGGGCGGCGGTACCACCACCAATGAGAGCAGCTATCAAGACGATACACGAGAGCCATTCACACGGACCCTACAAGGAATCATTGGTACGATACTTGCAGCACGGTGGAGCTAGTCGACGAGCGGAGCAGGCAGCACGACTCTTCAAATGCACAACGTGTGAGGAGCTGGCTCGGACGGAAGCAAGACCTACAGCAGCTCAGCCTAAGGTTAGAGACTTTAACGAGGCCATTGGCATGGATTTCATGATCATACCTGGCATGGACAAGAATATGCACGTGGTGCATGTGATCGTGGACGTTGCGTCGGATTTTACAATGGCTATCGACTCGTGTCCTACGTCACGACCGACAGCAGAGTAAGCTAAGAAAGCTTTCGGGCTTGGATGGCTGACCTGGGCTGAACCACCTACTGCGGTTGAGCAGGACCAGGACTCTACCTTCATGGGCGAGTCCGAGACACTGTGCAACGACCTCGGCCTAGTGATCAACGGCGCTGCGCCAGAAGCTCACTGCCAGATGGGCAAATTCGAGAGAAATATACGTTACCAAAAGGAGATTGCGACGAGTGTCTTCGATGCTGGAAAAATGCGTGGCCCGGATTCCGTTGCAGCTGCAGTGCGAGGCATGGGCAACGCGTGCAAACAGCTGGTTAGCACGGCGGGCGCTTCACCACAGCAGTGGGTACTGGGAGCTGGACATCGACCACCTGCGAGTTTGGCAAATCCCGACAACGACCCACCAACAGTTTCCAGGGTAGCTGAAGGCACATTGTTCTGGAATCTACTACACATTCAGCAGATATGCGCGGAGGCCGTCTTCAAGGCGGCTAATCCATCTGCTTTGAGACGGACAGTGCTGGCAAGGACAAGGCCCCAGCCAAGGCCCTTCCAGCAAGGAGATCTACGGATGTTCTGGCGATCGGACAGTCTAAAGAGAAACCTGCATGCTCGTATTTTTTCAGCGCGCACGATTTGTCAACACCATACGTCCGCACTAAAACCCATGATACAAAAGCGGGGGCACGCAACGAATATGTCACGAATTACGGCATGGACCTGCCCGGTGCCTGGGCAAGGACGAGCATGGTTACTGGCTGCTTCCCAATCGGATACCGATTCTGAG